TGGGCTACGGCTGCCAAGCTAACACAACTACAACTCAACCGCCATCCACCACGACATCGCAACAAGCGGCCATGAGACGCCAACGGCGGATGGAGATTATCAGGGGAAAGCGGAATGCAAGAGAGGCAGGTGCAAGAAGGCGGGAACGCGCGGGATCACCAGAAGCCCAGCTGCCTACGCAAGGGATCCAAAGTGCGGGTCGGCCACTGCCGCAACAGGAAGTTCGGACAGACATGGGTCAAGCCAACGAAGCCGCAGCGGCAACGAACGTGAACCACGCTGTAGAGACGGGAGGGGGGGGGTCGGACAATAGTGATGCTGAGCGGGTGGACAGTGACACCATGGAGGATGGGGCGGGCATTATTGTTCGCACGGGTCAGGATGGACCGAGATACAAGAGGAAGAAAAAGATCACAGTATTCATCAAGCAATGGGCACGGTGTTATGCCCCCACCTGTCGGTTTGGCATTTACAGCAGCCAGATGGTGGAGTCGATCAACAATGCAATTAAGAAGATCCGCATCTTGCCGGCATCTTACGTGATGGCGGGCATGTGGGATTGGATGGCAAAAATCTACTCGGATGGGTAGAAGAGGTTATCCAACTGGCAGCATGCATTGACGGTCGAAGCTGAGAAGCGGTTTGAGCTGAAAAAGAACCGAAGCCGTGGTTACAGGGTCACTCGCAATGGTCCGAGCAAGGCAAGAGTTCGGAACAAGGGGAGCACCTTGGACCGACGTCGCCTCTCCTTCAACAACGATGTGGGAGAGAGAGTGTGCGAGTGCAAGAACTGGCAAGAATATCGGTTTCCCTGTTCTCATGCGTTTGCACACTTACGGGATAGACAAATGGATGTTATCCCCTTGATCGCCAGGTATTGGAAGACGGACAATTGGAGAAGGACGTACTCGGCGCTCATTCCGTATTCGTGTATAGACACGGTCATTGCGGAGACCGAGCCCGTTGAGGAGGGAGTTTGTGATCCCCCGGTCTTTGTGCAGAGAGGATCAGGGCGGCCACAATCTAACAGAAGGCGTGAAGCACCAAAACGGACATACAAGTGTGGCGACTGTGGGTCTACTCAGCATACCAGGAAGAAGTGTAAGGGAAAGTATGGGGGGTCAGAGATGTATCATGTAGCAAACTAATTGTGTCGGGTACGTTAATTTGCTGAGTGTTGAATACTTGGAAATGTGGGAGCATCCTTATTTAATGGTTGTATATGAATATGGAATTCTTTCGTGGACTTAGAGTCAAGATCCCTGATATGACCAGTCATATGATCATATGTTCCCGACCAATGATATTATCGTGAACTATTGACCTGCCATATAGCCTTCCGCTTTGGACCAGTAATACCCCACACGTGCATATGATCGCGCATATGCGGCCCCGTATATGACCGGTCATATACACAAGATCACGTGACTGGTCGAAACACAACGCGCATATTACCGGTTCACCAGGCAATTTTGGGATTCGATGTAACCGCGCACGCATACCGTTACATGCGAGAGAAGGATACAGTACAGTGGTTTGGTTAAGTGATATATATACAATGGAGTAATGGTTGTAACTGTCAAAACTTTCTCACGAACATCGTGATGGCCCGTAGGTTGTTATTGAAACATGTACACACTCTTATGGTGTCATGCAATAGGCTGGAGAGCAGTGTTGGCAAAACATTACTACTTTCTAACCGGGAATGCATGGAATATGATTTGCCGTCATGAGTGTTTACCCATGGCACAAACGAATGTTACACTGCGTTAGTGGAGTTCCTCCCCCATGGCACTAGGCTTTTTATGTATAATGTTCTCAATGTTACAATTGAGACTAAGACCATTACAACAGTCGCGGACTGGTAGCACAAACAAGGTATGAAGCAACCATGGTTGTAATCAACGGTGGCAGAGTTACCGCATTGCCAGGGCTGCAATAAGGGATTGCTATATAACATTATAATTAAGCCATATTGTGTAACAAATGCCACCGGAACCTTTCGCTAGAGTAATCAAATGTGTTATGTGAACGGTTACTCTATACCATGATCTTTGTTTTTTTTAGAAACCACGTTATACTGTTTCGTCATATTAAATCATCAACCACTGATACACAACTAGCATTTGCAAACAAATAGCATAGGTTAAGCATGTGGCCTAACCATTGTGACCAGACCCAACCTGTGGATCAGGCAATACCAAGTCTTTCCATGTGTTGTGGCTGCAACTAACCGGGCTTATTAGCTCATAAACCGTATGTACAAAAAGTCTCCAATTCGCTGTTAAAATATTTCGCATACACATATCTTGTCTGCTATGTGGGTCCTACATCGAGCGCAGACGCAAGGTACTACATAGCGTACGACGCTGTGTGTCTTGGGTGTTGTGTGTGTGTGTGTTTTTTTTTTTTACTTTATATTATTTTATTTTCCCACCTTGTTGGGTAGCTGGCCAAGTATCATTGATCGTTGATATCTTACGTCAGAGTCATATCATTATTTAATTCGTGTAAATGAAATGACGCTGTTGCACAGAATCAAGAGGCCACATTGCGCAAAATACAAAATCCCACACTTCGATAAATCACCAATCATAACAATGCAATTAGAATCCCTTATTTGCACCTTCGCATTTGTCAATAGAACTAGGCAAGAATGATTGAAAGGAGAGGGATTTCACTAGCAGGAGTTGGGGTACATATAGCAAACCCTAACTGGGTTGTACTCGCTATAGAGCACCCCACTACAGGCTAGACAATAATAACATTCTGACACACCCCCATAGCCAAAGTGGGGTGTAATCAGTACAATGAGCAGGCATAGCAATAGTTCACAATTATAAGCAAAGCTAGAGGTGATCATAGAGGGCAAGTGAGGAGGAGGAGAAACTGTGAGGGCGAGAAGATGAAAGGCGCCGACTGAAGCTGCAGACACACGGGCAACAGGAGCGGCGCGCACAGTGGCTACCGAGCGCACGAGGGCACCGGACTACGGGAGTATCTGGCTCCGCGGCTACGACGAGCACACACAGGAGCAACGGACCCACAGGCGACTGGCGAAGCAGGCTCGCTGGGCTACCGAAACGCGCGAGGGCATCCGGACTACTGGCGCTGCTGGCGTCACGACGGCTACCTCCACGCAACCTCCCCCGACCGTCCCACGCCCCTCTCACACACCCCCTGCTGACACCCTAGCTCCACTTCCACGGCACCCCCCTTAAACCCTAAACCCTCGGCTCCCACACACCCACCCCCCTCAGCGGCAGCTGCAGCAGTGGGAGACGGAGGAGGAGGAGGAGCCGCAGGTTACCCACACCGGTCACCCCCATGCCCGCCACCCCCAAACCCTAACGCAGGCAGGAGCACGGGAAACAGCAGGGGCGGGGCACGGAGGGGAAGGGAGGCAGCGGGGTGGCTCTTGGGCGCCACGAAGAAGCAGGGCGCGGGCCCCCCGAGGGCGCCACGGCGGGTGACGGGAGGGGGGCCGCGCACGGGCCCCCGAGGGCGGCTCGACGGGCGACGGGAGGGGCCGCGCGCGGGCCCCCTAGGCGCCGCGACGAGGCGACGGGAGGGGGCGGCGCGCGGGCCCCCAAGGTGCCGCGACGAGGCGACGGGAGGGGGCGGCGCGCGGGCCCCCAAGGTGCCGCGACGAGGCGACGGGAGGGGGGGGACGCGCGGGCCCCCAGGGCGCCGCGACGAGGCGACGGGAGGAGGACGACGGGGGGCAGCGCGCAGGTCCTCGGGGGCGCCACGACGGGCAGGAAACCGCCGCGCGCCTCGGGGCGCACGGCGGGCAGAAAACCGCCGTACGCCCTGAGCGCACGGCGGGATGAAAAACCCTAAAAATTTTCGGGGCGCACGGCGGGCAGAAAACCGCCGTACGCCCTGAGCGCACGGCAGGAAGAAGACGGCGCGCGCCCGAGGCGTGCGAGAAGCAGAATAGCAGCGGAAGCAGTTAGGTGGCGGGCCCACCCACAGGATCGACCCAAGGGGGTCGACCTGCTCTGATAGCATGTCAATAGAACTAGGCAAGAATGATTGAAAGGAGAGGGATTTCACTAGCAGCAGTTGGGGTACATATAGCAAACCCTAACTGGGTTGTACTCGCTATAGAGCACCCCACTACAGGCTAGACAATAATAACATTCTGACAGCATTGCGTGTTTTTATTTTACTTTGACAAGTTACGTAGCAAATGAAAAAATAGGTACACTATTGCCATATTTAAATTTCTCTCGCAATTCGTAACAACTCGTGCAAATAATACGACCGGTCAATTATAAGTGGATATGACCGGTCAATTCCGCAGGTCATATCCCACGCGAAACATATGTGATCAATGTGCGCGGGTTATATGACCGGTCAATTCCGGCAGGAATTTTATTGGTTGGCGAGCTTGATTGAATCATATGCATATCACGGCGATTTGACCGGTTTGATTGCGCGTGGATTAGGCCGGCTAATTTCGAAGACTTTGATTGGTCGGTGCATATATCCGATCATATTCACTCGAGTTCATCCGACTGTGTTTGAATTTTGACCGGTCAATATTCGCCTCGCATGTGATTGGTTCGCGCATCTGAGCGTGCAGTGCGATGCTCTTCTTCCCTCTCGCGCATCAGGTTCATTGATGCGCAATCCAACTTGCATTTTATTCGAAAGTCCGGCTTCGGTTACAGCGCAACCAATGTATTACGGCATACGAAAAATGCGCGAAATTGCAAAAGGCACACGCTACATCGACTGTCGGCAAACGAAAAAGGATAACTTGGTAATCGTGCGAGAGGTTCGGATTTGAACCCAAACCACTGCACTATTTGTGCCACGCCATACGGCAGACATATTGCTCTCGATATGTCAGGCAGAACACAAAGTTAGGGTTAGATAGTGCTAGGAGTGGATCCTAAGCTTCTACCGTTTTAGGTCTCTAGCACCCCACCTTATCACAAACTGCATTTTCCTTAATAATAGTGCGGACGGCGAGCGTATAGGCCGTGGAAATGTCCGGTCGTGCAGCTCGTGATAGAGGGAAACGTCAACGAAGACGTGATGGCACGTCAACGCCCGACGTGGAATCGGGAGAGGAAGACGGTGTTCGTCGTAGTGATAGGCTAAAATTGGCCTCCGAGAAGGCGACGACAAACAAGGAGGAGTGCACCACGCCATCTGATCCGTTAGTTTTGAAAATAGCCCCGCACGATTATGGCGTGGAGCCGGAGTTTGAGTCGCCGATGGTAGCCCCGGACGATCTCATCGCGAAAATCACCGGTGGTAAAAAGCTCCCGTTCCAGAATACACAAGAGTTGTCTAGAGCTACTGCGGGGAAGTTTAAGAATCCGTTTTTCCCCACGAATGCAATTCGCGACCATCACGGCATGACGGCCGTGATCACGATGGCCGACGCTCTGCACATCACAGATGATCAGCCGATCATGCAGCCGCACATCGATTTCCATAATATGTAAGTGCAATTCAACATACACACAAAATCCCGTGCTTGACATGGTGTCTTGATTATCGCCCGTCCAATTGTCTCACATGTGTGCCATATAATGTACCGCCCATCCGAATGCCTATTTCACCGCAGAGTGCTCAACATCCGCCAGCCAAAGTTGAGCAACGGCAAGAAGTGGCTCGCGTTGGACAGTCAAAGTTACGAGTACTTCTGCTCTCGGGGCAAAATCGCCAGTGGTGACACTAGGCCGTCGATCTTCAGCTTCGACTATCTGGCTATGCCAATCTACGGCGGGTAAGTGCCATGATACCTTTTCTGGTCTACCTTTGAAGCATATGGCTGTCTGTGTTGCTTTGCCTGACCGTAACATTGGTTGTGCAATGCGTTGACGATGCAGGTTTCATTTCAGCGTGATGATTGTGGTCAATCCTAGAGTTGTCACCCTCTCGCTCGACGACAACACCGACACCCCCCCCGCGTGGTTGCTGCTGTACGACTCCCTTGGGATGCATGCTGTGGGAGACAATGCATTCAAGAACATGACCAAGTAAGTATTTAGAAACAGCCACTTGTATTTCCTTTACAAGCACAAGAAAATGTCCGTGCGAGTATATGTGTCATGCATTCAAACATCCACCACGTCCCCTTCCTTCCCATACACCCCGACAGCTTGCTCGGCATGGCCTTCGAGAAAGAGCACGGAAACCGACCTATAGAAGAGATGAAGGCGAGGCTCGGGAGATTCCAGCCACACGTCATGGAGGTGTGTTTACCTGTTGTACGCTCGTATAACTTGCAACACCCTATCGTTATGCATGCGCTGACATGCAGTTATAGGTACCGATGTAACCCAACCCTGCACCATGCACATGGTGCTCCCTTGGTCACGATGCTGCGAAACAGCCCCACCAGTGGTTTCGGGTGTATGGTGCAAATGTGCTGGGTGCTACATTCAGTATGTGCATGGGGCGTTCAGTTTTGTTTAACGCTGCATGTGTCTTTGCTGTATTGCAGGCGTGGCAAATGCCTTTCCAGCAGAACGATGTTGACTGCGGCATCTTCGTCTGCCAGTACCTTCATGCGCTTGTGGAGGCGTGTTTTGAAGGAGCTGAGAACGGGGTGCGGTTTAGCATGAGCCCGTTGGCGTACCGACGTGGGTTACGGGCGGATGTATGCGCTCTTGCAGAAGGGCGGCTGATCGGCGAGCTTACCGCAGCTGGGCATGAGATCCCTCGTGGCAACGAGATCAGGAAACCGCATGAGGCTGAGGTGATTGGCGATGAGGTGGAAGATAAGGAGTGGAGAGCGGAGATGGCCGAACGGATGCATAGGCTGGAGGTTCGCAATGAGGGACAGGCAGTGGCTATTGCCAAGCTCGAGAGGCAGTTGCGTGAGCTGATGCTGTCCCGTGCTCCGCAACATGGCGTTGAAGGTGAGGCTGCAGGGGAGGCACATGGTAATGAGGCAGGGGACGGTGGTGCTGGTGAACAGGCGGGTGTGGAAGACAAGGGTAGGGTCAATGCTGGCACACACGACACAATGGGAGGGGCACATGGAGAGGAACCTGTGGCCGCAGGTGCGAGGAGTAACAGTGCGAAAGTGGGGGTGCGTGCTCAGGGTGCTGGGGGCTTGCTGGGTGCTAGCGAGGCCGTGGGTGCTGGCGAGGCCGTGGGGGCTGGCGAGGCCGTGGGTGCTTGCGAGGCCGTGGGTCCTTGCGAGCCCGTGGGTGCTGGCGACGCCGTGGGTGCTGGCGAGGCTGTGGGTGCAGGCGAGGCCGTGGGTGCTGGCGAGGCCGCGGGTACTGGGCATGGTTTGACAGCCTCGAACGCCGATGTGGATTTGGTGTCAGCATACAGTGCAGGGACAGAGACGACGAGTCGCAATAACGCGCGTGGTAGAGCTCCTAGCTCAGGCTATACAGGAGTAAGCAAACGGGAAGGTAAGTGGGCGGCGAAGCTGTGTGTAGATGGTCCTAGAGGCAAATTTCTAGCGCTGGGACGGTACACCGACATCCTGGAAGCCGCAACAGCCTATGCCGCAGCCGCTCACATCTGCCGACTGTCCCTCTCCGGCTCAAAGATGGTGGAGCTGAACGAGGAGGACAGGAGGTGCTTGGAGGGTTTGACGTCGAAAGGGGTTGAGCGGATTGTGGATGCCAAGCGGTGGCCGAAGTGGAGGAACTGGCGTGCAGTGCTCAGCAGCATCCCTGAGCCTTCCACCCCAGCGGCAGCAGGAGCTCACACACAGGCCCCACCTCCCTTTTCCCACCAGCATCCTGGAGCCACGTTTGGCTACCATCAGCCACCTTCCGCCTTCGCTGGACACGCCGGTGCGACCCCAAACCAAGGTGGATGGCAGCCGTACAGCCAGAGCCACCCTCCTCCCAACCTACATTATCCATCCCAGCCATTTCCATTCAACCATATCCCAATCCACCCATTCGGCCAGGTGCAAGCACCTATTTCTGTACACCCAGTCCGTGCAGTACCCATTGCTCCCAACCCTGCAGGCCATACCATAGCACAGAACACAGCACCCCATCCGCATGTCCTACCCACACCACCAGCCGTTGCACCCAGCACGGCACAACAGGGAACAGACCCACACGCCCACCAGGTTCCGCCCTCTGAGGAAAATGCACAGGCAAGGGTAGCTGGCATGACAGATTCCCAGCACAGTCTGAGCATGCCCACTGCACCCAACGACCCCAACCCCCCCTCGCACGGCTCCGCACTGGCAAGTGAGCCAGCAACAGGTGAGATGTGTTGATGTGTCATAGTTATGCGTATCCAAAGCCCGTCTAAATCCTAACCATGTAATAATTCTTAAATTTGTTTCATGGCCATGTGCAGGGGCAGCAGACGACATCATCGATGCCTTCCTAGGTCAAGCAACGCAGTAAATCCTGTGACATTTGGTGATACTGAAATTGCGTGATCCGTAAACATCAATACGGTCTACTTAAACTATGGTATACATGCGTAGATCCTAACCTGACATGCCAATAGATACACATGCATGGCAGTATAACCCTGCGCCTGTGCCTGCCACATGAAAGGTGTTCACAGTGTTATCTACATTAACGGCTAAACAAAAGTCAAGACAGTAGCCACGACGTGCCAAATATGCGCAAGAAGAATAAATTGTCTGAATTTTCTGTTTAGGTTTTATAAGCTCACCGATCATCACAAAAAATGCGCGCACATAAATGTTATTGCGCGGCTTATATAATATATGACTGGGCCTTTGTTTGGACTTTCTTTGATTGGACGCGCAATGTCTGGTCATATCCTGCGAACAAGACAAACCAATCACGCGCGGTCATCTGATTTCTCGCGAACCGACGGCCGATCATTTCAGTATATGATCGGGAAGTGTACGATGGAACCTGATTGGACGCGCATATCTCCTGACGAATCGAGCGCGTTCGTTTTTGCAGGTCGGTTCGTTTCGGGTCAATTGCAGTATATGATCGTGAAGTCATATGCTCGTTCGTTGATTGGATGTGAATTATATTGACCGCGCGCTCATTTTTCGAGCATTTGGCCGAAAATGACCGGTCAATGTACTGTTGGTCAATGTACAGTGTGCGGGCCACTTTCGCGTCCGTGAGCCTGGCGAAATTTTCGAGTGCGGAAAATAACCTCTACTACATAAGGATAACCCTCGCAGTAATGGAGAATTTTGGGGCTACAAAGCCTCGTAGGGTAATGCGACGAAGAAAAAAAAGTCAGCTAAAATCCCCTGGCGTGGCCACTCGAGTCATTATCACCGATTTTGGTGGCCACTCGAGTCATTCGTGGCCACACGAGGGATGGTGAATCACGTTTATGGCCACTGGAGTCATTCTCTCCACATTTCTGCATCCGGGCGACGAGATCCTCGTAACCTTCTCAACCGTCGCGAGTAAATCTCGGTGCGCGGTTCGGCGCACTGGCGAAATTCCGTCAGCGCCGGCTCGGAGGCTTCGGCGCGTCGGCGGAAGAACCGGCGATCCGTCGCGAGATACAGAGCAGCGGCGAGACCCGAGCCGCGTGGTCGCCTTTGGGGCAGCACGGTTCGGCGTGAGGAAATAGGTTTCGCCGGGCACGAGAGGGGTGGTTAGAAACACGACGGATTCGACCGATGAGAGGTGCATGTCAGGGTATTCGGACAGGACTGTCTCAGCCGTTAGATGCTCGCCGATTTGGGTCGACGCGTCGTCGAAAAACCGAACGGAACCGTCGGGGAGCATGACGATGACGGGATCATGCTCTGTGGACTCTGCAGCTACGGCTGTGCAGGTTTTGAAGGAGCTGGAGGAGGCCATCTCTTGAAGCGATCGCAAATAGAATGCAAAGTTGCATTCACTAAGCTGATTAATCTCAACCGCGAGGGTCGCGACTGAGCAACAATGAGGGCGACTTTTCTCATTAGGAAAGATCGAAGAGGGAATGCTATATTGGGAAAGCGAAGATCAAAGCAGGTCCATACGTTTGAAGTTAGGAGGCAAATTAATTTACTACTGGATCTCGATCACGTGGTTGGATCGAGATCCGCACCGCATCCCATTGTGAAGGAAAGGTGCATGTGTCAGAATCAACGGACTGGAATGATTGAACTAACAGAGAAATCAGTACAAATAGCAAACCCTAGAATTGTGTACCCCATATAGGCTAACCCACTGTAGCCTAACAAACCCAACATATATAATGTTTGACACACCCCCATAGGCAAAGTGGGGGAGACCTAGGGGTCACAAGACCAGTCAAGGCAAAGCAAGGCAACAACAAGCTCAGGGTGGATCTCGAGGATTCCACACAAATTCCGAGCACAAGCTAGTGGTCACAAGACCAGTTCACATGCAGGTTTATAACAGAGCCAGAGATACAGTGATCACAACCTAGCAAGAGTAAACATGCAGGTATAGATATATATAGTGATCACAGTACGAGCAAAGTCAAGAGGTAAGCAAGTGAGGTCCAGTAGGCACAAGGCCTAGTAGAGTGCAGAAGCGCTGATGGTCACGAGGCTGAAGCGCCTTGGTGAACACATCAGCAGTGTTGGCCTCAGTGGCCACGTAGCGAATACAAAGCTGACCGCGCTGCTGCAGCTCTCGAGCAAGGAAGTACCGCAGGGCGATGTGCTTCGTTCTGTGCTCCAGTCTGTGCTCCTCACACAAGGCAATGGCAGCCTTGTTGTCGACGTACAGTACTGGAGGAGAACGAGGCCGCTCTCCGAGGTCGGTCAGCAGGTAGGTCAGCCAGCGTAGCTCCTGGGCAGCCATGGCTGTAGCGTAGATCTCAGCCTCGCAACTGGAGCCGAGAACAGAAGAAGAGCGTGTAGAGCGCCAAGAAACTGAGCCAGAGCCAAGGCTGAAGGTGTAACCCTGAGACGACCGCTGAGTGGCCTGGTCGTCTGCCCAAGAAGCGTCTGAGTGCCCTGTGAGCACAACTCGGTCTCGCCCTCCAAGCACAAGCCCCATGCCCGACGTACTGCACAAGTAGTGCAACACCCTCTTAGCGGCATCCATGTGCTCCTTCCTGTGACGGCCAGGAGCGACATAGCGTGCAAGGATGCTAAGAGGGTATGCAAGGTCAGGTCGAGTGCAGGTCATCAGGTACATGAGGCAGCCCACAAGCTCTGGATACGGGCCACTCGGCTCTACGGACTCATCCGAAGGCAGAGCTGAGAGCGAGTGACCGGTAGGCAGAGGAGTGGACTGAGGCGAGGAGTACGTGAAGCCAAAGCGCTGGAGAACCTGCTGCACCATGTGTGACTGAGTCAGGGTGATGGTGCGCCGTGCTCTGTCCCGGGTGATCCGCAAGCCAAGATAGCTTGTCAGCTCACCCAGGTCTGTGCACGTGTGTCTCCTCTGCAGCTCCGACTTCACGTAGGCGAGTCCTGCAGTGTCAGCAGTGGCAAAGACCAAGTCGTCGACGTACACGAGGATGTAGAACGGCGGCAGCGAAGTGTCGGTGCGCAGGAACAGCGACGGGTCAGCTGTAGAAGGCGCGAACCCAAGAGCCGCAAGTGTAGTCCTCAGTGTGTCGTGCCACTCACGCGGAGCCTGGCGGAGACCGTAGACCGGCCGCTGAAGCCTCCACTGGGTACCAGGAGGAAACGACCCAGTGAAGCCAGGTGGGCGGCGCAGCCAGATCTCCTCGTGCAGGCTGCCCTGCAAGAAAGCAGTGCTGAAGTCAAGTGAGTGAAGCTCGTAGTCGCGCTGAGCGGCTATGTGCAGCAGCACCCGAAGAGTAGTCATCTTCGGGGTGGGGGAGAAGGTCTGGAAGAAGTCAACTCCCTCTCGCTGACTGAAGCCTCGAGCCACGTAACGCGCCTTGAAGACAGGCGGAGAACCCGGCGGCCGCTTCACCCTGAAAATCCACATGCCACTGACGATGTTCGCCCCAGGAGGGGGAACCTCGTCGACGTAGGTGCGTGTGGACTTCCAGGAAGCCATCTCTGCGTCCATAGCTGTCTGCCACTGAGAGGAGTAGGGACCTGCCATCGCCTCTGCGTAAGAGCGCGGGGTCGGGATGTCTGGTGCATCCGGGTCTCCCTCAGGGGCAGCTAGCAAGGACACGAGACGGGGCAAAGCAGCAGCAAGACACTGGAACTCCTCCTGTCTGTCCTCAAGGACGTCCGTGCCAAGAGCACATTCACCCCCGACGGACGGAGGACAGACAGACTCAGACGCAGACTCAGCAACAAGGCTAGCAGCGTAGTCTAGACGACAGGCAGCAGCAAAGTCAACCAACTCAGCGACCAGAGCAGACGCAGCCGAGGACTCAAAGGTAGGGTCAGTGACAACAGTAGCAAGGAAACGCGTGACAGTAGGGTGCTCAGCACGATACCGGTCAGACTCAGGGTCCGGAACGTCAGGCAAAGAGGACGCAGGAGGTGACGGTAGAGGGACACGCTGAGGAGCAGTAGAGGGACGCAGAGTCATGTAGTGAGTGCCTGGGACAGGAGGAGGACGCTCACGACGGACACGACTACCAGTGCGAGCAGGACGAACAGGCGACGCAGGACGAGACTCAGGCTCACGACGCTCTGTAAGACCTCCTGTGGGACCAGTGTAAGGAGAGGGAGATGGGAGAGGCGAGGTAGGCGGTAACTGTGACTGCGGCTGGACAGGCGGAGGACACTCTACGGAGGGAGGAGGACAAGGAGGAGGAGCCTGCCCAAGAACCTGCTGAAGGAGCGGTACGAAGTACGGTCGCGGCCGCGCAGCGTCTCCAGAAGCAGAGGAGACTCCAGCGGCCGGGTCCTCAGGACCAGTAGGAGCTCCAGCGTCCGGGTCCTCAGCACCAGTAGTAGCTCCAACGCCCGGGTCCTCAGCAGCAGCAGCAGCGCCACCGCTCGGGTCCTCAGCTCCAGCAGCAGCTCCAACGTCCGAGTCCTCAGCACCAGCAGCAGCTCCACCAGGCGGGTCCTCAGCACCAGTAGTAGCTCCAACGCCCGGGTCCTCAGCAGCAGCAGCAGAGCCACCGCTCGGGTCCTCAGCTCCAGCAGCAGCTCCAACGTCCGAGTCCTCAGCACCAGCAGCAGCTCCACCAGGCGGGTCCGCAGCACCAGCAGCAGCTCCAACGTCCGGGTCCTCAGCACCAGCAGCAGCGCCACCCCCAGGGTCCGCAGCACCAGGAGCACCACTCCGAAGACTGCAGCGCCGTGTGTACCACTCGCGGATCTGCTGAATGGGGGGGAGCTCCTGGGTAGGAGGGGAAGTACCGGGACGAGCTCCAGCAGCACCTCTCCGGAGGCGGCAGTACTCGAGGTACCTCTCCTGCAGCTGCTGGGAGGAGAGGGCTCCTCCAGGTGTAGCAAGCTCAGGCTCAGCACCCCCAGACTCAACACCCCCAGACTCAGCACCCCCAGGCTCAGCACCTCCAGGCTCCGCACCCCCAGACTCAGCACTCC